ACACACACACACACACACACACCAGGAACAACTTATCTGACGTTATGAATGACGTAATGCTTCGCCGCAGTGTGAAAGGTTGTTCAGTTCTCGCGATACTTCGTGACCTTTATATAGGTGGCGCCACACTTTGTCGGCCTTTCCCATTTTCGCTGTGGTGGTGAAGGTGCAACATTTTTCGGTCGTCCCAAATCCGGGTTCATCCGACATCCTCACCAATTCAACTCGAGCTGAGCTCAACTTTAGCTGATACACCATGCCTCCTAAATTCGACCCCACCGAGATTAAAATTGGTATGTCTGGAATACGGTAACCGTTTGACGGATTTCTGATTAGGTCTGAGCGGCCTTGTCTGCGTGCTGGGACTAATAAATGAGTAGAAAGGTAAAACTACAAAAAAATTAACGGTATAGGTTAGTTGAGCCACTTTAAGCTGAATGTGTACATGCAATAATATTTGTAGTTTAACCTAGAGGCGTGGATTTTGAACGCTGTCTATAGTATCTTTAGGGATGCTTCCTGCAGCTTCTCCTTGCATGTGGCGCTTTGAACGATTCGATTTGATGTTTTGAGTGTATAAAATACGGGCTTGCTGTAGTTTCACAGCACTCCGGAAAATCGTGCGCCTTCACTTGCTGCTGTAACGGCGTCTCGCACGTGGGCCTCGCGGAGCTGTAGCGTCCTACTCTGTAACATGTTTGCTCTCTTTTCGGCTGTACCGAGAGCTGAACAGGTTTTACAGGAAACCGGAATTATGTATGCCATGTAATGTCAGTATGTGTGTGTATAATATAAGTTGGAAACTAACGTTTTAGCACAACGTGAGCGAAAGTGACCAACAACGTCAGAGTAGCATTTGCAGTGTAACTAGTTTTTACCCATCCAGACGATGTAGATATTCGAACCAGTTCAACTTTAGGGGAGTTGTAACGTTTTAGAAGTTCTCACTACAAAAACTATGGTTCTAGTAATAGTGCATACCTTGAGGTTAGGCTGGGAACCCTTTTTGCCATCCGTGTGATGTAGGGCCCTATGAAGTCCGTTTCTATTTTTTTCCCAAATGTTTTATTTTTCCCCCCTTTTTTTTTTCCTAGACATTTTCTTTTCGTTTTAATGGTTAGATTTTATTAATCAAAAAGCCTGTGTAATTAATTAATCACGAAACTTGCACAATTTAACAGATTTCTTAAGTTTAACAAAAACCCTGTTTTTTTTTTTTCTTTTAAGTTCAGCTTTATTTTTACTAAATTCTGTGTTCCATTCATTTTCTGGATTGCATTTTAATGGTTTCATTATTTTGTAATTAAAAGCGTCTGATTTTATAAGAGTATCCTTTTTTTTCAGTAATACTGTGTATTTACGTTTTTCTGCTAAATAGTTTATGGCATTTTTTTCTGGTAAATATACCTTAAATGTTTTAATTGTATTAGTAGTAGTACTATCATTAAGTAAAATATTTCCGTCACAGTTTCAAGTTAAAACGAAGTTAGACCAGTAAGTTTATGATTTGACGATGGCGCGTGTCTGGGCCATTCATTCACAGAGACACGCGGAACATACAGGCTTTATATTCAAGTCTTTTTGCGGCCTAATATACATATACATAGTACATATCGCATTTTAATATAAGTGTACTGACCTACTTTTAATTTGTTAATCCAAAATTTGGCAAATTTCGTGACATTGCGCCTTACACCGTAACTTCAGTTTTATGACAGGATTCCGTCCGAGTTTTCCGCATCGTGGAAATCATAGAGCCCTACGTGTGATGTCTGATGGGATATTTGTCTTAGTATGGTGGTGCCTCTTCGCATGTGTGCGATAATAGGGTTTTAATCTTGACCCCAAATAGAACATGCTATAGAAATAGATTTGATGTAATGCTGCACAGGCCTGCCTGTTTCGCATCAGCCAGGTATGACCATCTATTAGTCATTTTAGAGGTATTTGCAAAGTAACTTTAAGCTGACCCTCCAAGGATGTTGCATTAAGATCTGTTTGAATGAATGATGCTCAATGCTGAATAGTTTGTTAATTTAGTCCCCCTCCAAACTTTTAGAAAAGACACCACACCGTAATGTCTTGCAGCATATACAAGTTCTGTGGTGAAAGTGTAGTAATTCTAGTGAAAGCACTAACTTCATTGTTTCTTTTTCCAGTGTACATGAGATGCACAGGTGGAGAGGTTGGTGCCACTTCCTCGCTGGCCCCCAAAATCGGACCTTTGGGTCTTGTAAGTATAGCCATCTTGGTTCAGTCTGTATTGTTTGATCCTATACTCTATATCATGAATAAGCCCCCTGCCACTGTCCTAGTCCGTAAAAGGGGCTTAAAGTGGAGGCTTATAGTGACCCGGCTTTTGGAAGCAGGGCGGTCCCAACCTGATGGCTAACTCTGTGCCAAAAGGCCTGGAACAAACTGCTTGTCACAGCACATTGACTCTGTTCCATGCTGTGTGCTCATTTTTCATTTTCTATTCTTTTCTTCAGTCCCCTAAAAAGGTGGGTGATGACATTGCAAAGGCCACCGGTGACTGGAAGGGCCTGCGAATCACTGTGAAGCTGACCATCCAGAACAGACAAGCAGCGGTAAGCCTTCAAAGTGTTTCCGCCTCTGTTGGCTCTTAAGGTCATCTAGCCTTTAGATGCTTACAGGTTTTGTTGTTGATCCAGATTGAGGTGGTGCCATCAGCCTCTGCCCTCATCATCAAGGCACTGAAGGAACCTCCTCGTGACAGGAAGAAGGTCAAGAACAGTAAGCAGCTTTTTACCCCACCTCAATATTCTGTGTTGGAGGAATCATGTCTTTGTGTGTTCTGGCCTTTTGTGGTTATTGACTGTAAGCCTCCCGCCACTGTGCTTGTCTTTAAAAGTGACTGTGTACTGCCAAAGGAAGGCTAATAGTGACCCAGCTCTAGGAAACGGGGCTGACCAACTTAATGGCTGACTCTGTGCCGAAAGGACTGGAACAAGTTCTATTGCATTTCTTGTTGGCCAAAATGTTGTATGATGCACACTGCCGTTCAGAAGTTTGTGGTCTGTAATTTTTTTTTAATTTAGCCAGGATGCATTCAATTCATCAGAAGTGACCGTAAAAACCATTTAGTATTTTACAGAAGTTTTGAAACCAAATAGCACACCATTAACAACAAAAAATGGACTTGCCTTGCACAAAGAGTTATGCAAATAACTGCTAAATTGTTTGATCAAAACATAAGGTCCTTAATGTTTGAGTAAGTTTTAATTCAGCCAGGATACATTCAATTTTTCAAAGTTACAGCAAAATTTGTTACAGGAGTTTTTAGCATGAGACTTATGCTTAAAATATTTAATATATCTCATCGACCCCAAACTTCTGAAAGGTAATGTACATGCTATTAGTTTGTGACTAGCATATTCTAGATGTCCTGATGTTCGTATCATGTTTCCCTTTTCTTTTGTAGTTAAGCACTCTGGAAGTGTTACTTTTGATGAGATCATCAATGTTGCCCGTGTCATGAGGCCACGATCTATTGCCAGGGAACTTAGTGGTATGTATTTTAAGAATTTATGCATCTGGGAGCAATATTTATCGATCAGCCTCCCGCCACTGTGCTAGTCTGTAAAAGGGACTGTGTACTGTCCAGAGGAGGCTAATAAAAACCCAGTTCTAGGAAGCAGGAATACTCAACTCTGTGGTTAACCCTGTGCCAAAAAGCCTGGAACATGAATTACAACCATGTATGATTGAGTTATTTTGATTTAGATGACCGTACAAACTGATCTTGTCCTGTTTCTCAGGTACCATTAAAGAGATTCTAGGCACAGCTCAGTCTGTGGGCTGCACCATTGATGGTCGCCCTCCCCATGATGTTATTGATGACATCAACAGTGGCAAAATTGAATGCCCAGCTGTAAGTATTAAGTGCCATTATGCTTTGGAGACAGATATATATTTATTTTGGTTTTCACTTGCTGGTCTTAAACTTTTTTTTTTTTTCTCTTTCTTGCAGGAGTAAGGATTCAAGACACAATAAAACCGTTAAAATGACAAAAGTCCAAGTGTTTTGATTTCTTTCAGTGGTTCTCAGAAACGGGAGGCTTAATTAAAATGCTGAAAACACAAATCAAGATGTAAACTGAATTTGTATTTCTTCTTTGAAAAAGAATGTTTCATATGATCATAAGTTAAGTTAAACATTCCCAATTTCTGTTAAAGATTGTAAACAAGCAGCATTGTCATAATTACAGCACAAATACTAGAGGACACCTCTAAGACAATGTGGGGGACCTTTGCATCAAAGAGGTTAAGAACCACTGATCTGGAGACCAGCCGAACTTCATTGGTTATAGAAGTTTATATTAAATTATATTAGTATATTTAGTAGGTACCATATTTTGGCGCTACACAAAGGGCATTCAACTGAAGATATTGGCTTTTTTTGCAATGAGACATTAAGCATATAAATTGATGACAGAATCCATTAAAATTACAATTATTTATTTGAAAAAATGGGTAACATCTACTAAAATATTCTCAAGTTGTTCAAAGACTCGGTACAAAAGTATGTAAGCTTAGGTATGTGTTGCTGTAGAACAAAAGCCTGACATTTAAAAAAGGAAAAAACTGGCATAGTATAAAGTTTCACTACTGCTGAACTTCGTTTACAAAATGTTTGAGTACTTCAGGCTGCTCACCTTTTAGTTCTCAATCCTAAATCATTAACATCCATCACATTTTTCCCATTTCTTGACCCAGGTAACAGTACATTTATTAGCTTAAAATCCTATGCCACTACTGTCGTATATAACTGATTAAAGTGAATTTGAAGAGGCTACGTACAGTTTCTCTTGAAATATACTTCACTGTATTCAAAGGAGCTCCGCAGGAATGTTGCCACAGTTTTTGTACAGTTGCTCAATTTCATAAAGTAAAACATTCAGTACCATAGGCTTGTCTTTGTCCCACTATTAATGTGGAAACTACCATTTGCCATAGATGATGGAAACCAGGACGGATTGAACAATTAAACAATCCCGTTTCCTCTCAGTTCTCCACATCCTCTTCCTCTCCTTCATTCTCTCCCTCCTGCTCATCATCCATGTGCTCGTCCTCTTCATCTCTACTCTTGTCGTTCTCATCTGTGCTGTTCTTCTCCTTGTCCTTACGTTTTTGCTCCGATGCCTCCTTCTTGCCTTTCTGACCTTTCTTGTAAGCTGTTAAAAAAAGCATAATGTCAGCACAAAACAGTTATACACAAGAATAAATCAGATGCTTTTATGAATTCATACATCTTTCGACCTGAACGCCTGTGCTTCATACAGCATTTACCTTCAAGTGCTTCCCGCAGGGGTTGCAAGAAGCGCTCAAACTCCATCTCCTCCATAGCCGACATCACATCTCCAGCGTTGAGTGTCTTCCTTTTTGCTTTCATAGCAAAATTGTTTGCACTGGTGTCAACAAAACAGATTGCATTTGGGTAGGTAGCCAGAATAGAGTTTCTCATACAAAACAAAACGTCCTACTAACCAAGATGTTGCATAGAGAACGAAAACACTGGCTGCTTGAGATATCGCTCTTCTTGCTTCCTTGGACACGTTAACTCCGTCTGGCAACTAAACACGAGGAAAACAGGTTGACTTGTATAATAAACAATATAATAGACTGCAGTGACTGAAAGAGACAATTTACGTAACGCTTTCATTTGTATGGATCGGAGGCGGACAAAGTACTCAACTCCATTACTTGAGTGAAAGTACAGATACTGCTGGTCAAATATTACTCCATTACAAGTAAAAGTTGTAAAGACAGATTTTTACTTAAGTAAAAGTACAGAAGTACTTGCTTTTAAAAGTACTTAAGTACCAAAAGTAAATTGCCTTTTTTATGTCAATGTGCTGTTTTATTGTCGTACATAATACTTGCAACACTTCTGAAGCAACTTAGAATACATTACACCTGCTTAATACACTGACTAGCTTGTAGTATCTTTGGAATAAAGAGCTTTTAGAATGTTAAAAACAAAACATAAATATTTAACACCCCCACAAAAGCAGGATGGTAGTGATCTCACACAGCTCTGACAGTGTGCACACATCTATGTGTAGCCATTCAACCACATTTGAACAGAGTGGACAGTGAAATCCTGTAAATACAGAGTGATAAGGAAGAAACAAAATCAAACCTGCTTTAAAACCCAGCAACACAACTGTAGCTGTATAACTTTACAACAGAAACACTGCTTTAACAAAAAAGCAAAACAGCAAGACTTATTTGACATCAAAACAAAAATTTTAAATGAAAAAAAAATAAAATAAGATAAAATAAAAAAATTCTAATCGCTCTCGCGGTACTTTGATGTCACACACAGAATGGTCTGCAGTGCTGCTTCAAGTCCAACACCTTTTGTATTTTATTAGGAGATAAGACAAGAGTTTTTCTGTGGCTTTATAGGTAATATTTTCACGTACACAATTTAACAAAATCAGAAAATATTGTGTCTAATATATACCACAATATTAACTTCTTATTATTTAATTGTTGTAAATAAATATCACATTTGCAACTGGTCAGTGTTAAAAAATGCTGAGAAATCACTTCATGTAGCCCTACAAGAGTGATTACTGATAAACTGCCTGAAAAAAAGAAAGTCACGTTTTAGAGAAGAAAAAAATCACCCACTGACTTTCAAAGCTGCTACATA